TTTCCCTCAGACAAACCTCTCCCTCTTACACTTATACTCATCTAAATCCCTGTATTTGAAGGGATGTAACTGCACTGATGTAAGGGAACCATTTGGGATGTCCAAATATATCAGCTCCAGACTTTCTACAATGTTAGCAGATGTGTTTTACCCTTATTTGCCTTCTTGATACAAACCACTGATGCAAATGCCATGGACTAACAACTAACATTAAAGCTGCAATAATAAATATTTTTCATGTTAACAATGGCTCAAATACACTCGTCTTTATATTTTTGTCCTCCCCATCTACATACATGAGAGGGTCAAAATATTAAGAACACCTCTGAATATAATGTAGTCCAGTACAACACCACCTTTAACTATGACCTCAATAATAAACATAATTGAGTTTACACATTTGTGACAATTTCAAAAAAAAAAAAAACAAGCATTTTTTCATAAACACAAATGTGTAAAGTGTCATTGTACTGAATTGCATACAATTGCACAGGTGTACCTAATAAAGTGGCCAGTGAGTGTATGTGTTTAATGTGAAAGGTGCTGCTCACAGAAACAAACCCACAGAGAATTATCAGTCAACTGCTACAGTTCTCTTTAGCTCTTTTGAACGTTTTAGCCACTATTAGCACAGTGTTTTGGTTTTCCAGCCCACAAACATAACTCCTTTTTTTTTTTTTTTTTAGCTTGTTCTATTGTCCCCATGTTGCCAAAAAAATAACTGAATGCACCTGTAAAATACACGATTATCACACTTCAAACTAATTTCAGCTGCTCATGGTGTTCTGCATGTGGGTTTGGTTTTCTCATAGAGTTCAGCTGATTGACTTTGGCTTTCCCCAAATGATAACATTTACAAAGTCTTCTTTCTTCCTAATATTTCGGCCTGTTTTCGCTTTGCTGCTATGAACATCTGCATGTAAAACAGGAAGTGAATACACAGTATGATATATTAGTAACAAAAACTGTAACTGAATTACACAGTTCCTCACCCATTTTGTTACCAATTTAGCTTCTAGAGTACATGATGATTTGCCAACACATGCTTTACCTTAAAATTTGTTTCAGCACAGGCAGTCTGTGTTTGTAGATTTTTTTTACAACTACAATTGCACAAATGCAACAAAAACAGAAAGCATCCTACTAAATAATAAAGGGATTCTGTGAATGATAGACTGGTGAATTACAGCACTGTGATTAACCAAGAATGGAAGAAAGGTAAAGAGTGTTAGTCACCTGAGTAGTGTGTTTAGTTTTAGAATCAGCACTGGGTAACTTTGAAGGTATTTTAGAGACAGGGGTTTTGTAGTGACTGGTCGAGGTGTGGGAAGAGGCAGCAGAAGCAGAGGAAGGCTTGGGAGAATAGCGAGTGGCAAGCTTGGGCGAGGGCATGTTCTCATAGAGGTCAGTGTTCTCATAGTACACCTCCTCTTTAAGTCGGCACCCCCTTGTACGAGGACTGGAGTACAGCGCCTCTGGCTCCTTGGGTTAGACCAGTCAAGAATGCATGCAAGTTGAGAGAGGAGAAGAGAAGAGAAGACACCATATATGATAGGAAAGAAAATACAGGGAGAACACAGAAGAGAGATACTGTACAAAGTTAACAAGTGTTAGAGAAATAATAAACAGGAACTTCATCAGTTTCAGACATGCAGACAATTGTTAGCAAGAGCAAACAAGTTAAATTAAAAATTAAACTAATTATTCACTATGTTGAGTTTCTCTCAGCCAGGGGGTTTAGGAAAGCAACTGGGACATAAAGTCAGAGGTTTCTGGGAAACTTTGAAGCTTAGATTTCATTCTTGATGTAAAAAAAACAGCAGCTGACAAAAAGAATGCACCACAAAGTCCATTTTGTGGCTGTTATGGAGCTTTCAGTCCTTTAAATAAACATCTACAGTTCCATAACAAATGGGCATACCCCATCTAATGACGATCATGTGATATTACTGAAAGCTTCAAAACAGCTACTAAAAACACCTGGTTGCGATTTTTTTCTGTGTCATTATTTGTTTAGTCTGGAAAATGTAGCAGCTTTAATGCTATACAGAAAAGGGAAAATCAGTAAGTAAGCAGGAGAGCAGGAACTAACACGGCCAAGTAGAATGTACTGATCTCCTGTAGCTTAGTCTTTATGTGTATATGTATCACCAGTGAACAGGTGTGTCCTTACTGTTCCGTTAATGGGCACATCATCATAGTGCAGAGCCATTCCAGTGGGGGAGGCGTAGCCACTGACTGGGTTATCCAGGTACGGGTTAGGGGAAACAGCACGCTTACTGGTGAAACTATGAGGAGAATACATCAAGATGCATTAAAAGAATCCCCGTCTTTTTACTTCTCTAAACACACCTAGTAGTCTGTAAAATACACAGATCACTAACAGCAGTAACGTCAAGCCTTTGGTTGCAGTAAAGGAGGAAAAGGATGCTACCGATCCACTACCATTTCCATATGAGCTATTTTAGTGCTGATAATAAAAACTAGACATTTACCATTAAAGTTTTCACGTCCATCTGGTTTTCATTTTACCAAATGCTGTGGCCATTACAGTGCCTTGCGAAAGTATTCGGCCCCCTTGAACTTTGCGACCTTTTGCCACATTTCAGGCTTCAAACATAAAGATATAAAACTGTAATTTTTTGTGAAGAATCAACAACAAGTGGGACACAATCATGAAGTGGAACGAAATTTATTGGATATGTCAAACTTTTTTAACAAATAAAAAACTGAAAAATTGGGCGTGCAAAATTATTCAACCCCCTTAAGTTAATACGTTGTAGCGCCACCTTTTGCTGCGATTACAGCTGTAAATCGCTTGGGGTATGTCTCTATCAGTTTTGCACATCGAGAGACTGAAATTTTTGCCCATGCCTCCTTGCAAAACAGCTCGAGCTCAGTGAGGTTGGATGGAGAGCATTTGTGAACAGCAGTTTTCAGTTCTTTCCACAGATTCTCAATTGGATTCAGGTCTGGACTTTGACTTGACCATTCTAACACCTGGATATGTTTATTTGTGAACCATTCCATTGTAGAATTTGCTTTATGTTTTGGATCATTGTCTTGTTGGAAGACAAATCTCCGTCCCAGTCTCAGGTCTTTTGCAGACTCCATCAAGTTTCCTTCCAGAATGGTCCTGTATTTGGCTCCATCCATCTTCCCATCAATTTTAACCATCTTCCCTGTCCCTGCTGAAGAAAAGCAGGCCCAAAACATGATGCTGCCACCACCATGTTTGACAGTGGGGATGGTGTGTTCAAGGTGATGAGCTGTGTTGCTTTTACGCCAAACATAACGTTTTGCATTGTTGCCAAAAAGTTCGATTTTGGTTTCATCTGACCAGAGCACCTTCTTCCACATGTTTGGTGTGTCTCCCAGGTGGCTTGTGGCAAACTTTAAACGACACTTTTTATGGATATCTTTAAGAAATGGCTTTCTTCTTGCCACTCTTCCATAAAGGCCAGATTTGTGCAGTATACGACTGATTGTTGTCCTATGGACAGAGTCTCCCACCTCAGCTGTAGATCTCTGCAGTTCATCCAGAGTGATCATGGGCCTCTTGGCTGCATCTCTGATCAGTCTTCTCCTTGTATGAGCTGAAAGTTTAGAGGGACGGCCAGGTCTTGGTAGATTTGCAGTGGTCTGATACTCCTTCCATTTCAATATTATCGCTTGCACAGTGCTCCTTGGGATGTTTAAAGCTTGGGAAATCTTTTTGTATCCAAATCCGGCTTTAAACTTCTCCACAACAGTATCTCGGACCTGCCTGGTGTGTTCCTTGTTCTTCATGATGCTCTCTGCGCTTTAAACAGACCTCTGAGACTATCACAGTGCAGGTGCATTTATACGGAGACTTGATTACACACAGGTGGATTCTATTTATCATCATTAGTCATTTAGGTCAACATTGGATCATTCAGAGATCCTCACTGAACTTCTGGAGAGAGTTTGCTGCACTGAAAGTAAAGGGGCTGAATAATTTTGCACGCCCAATTATTCATCACACTACAATTACACTGCTACAACGGAAAAAAGTGCTTTGTGGGTTGTTGTTTTTTCATCCTCTTCCTAATTTAACAAGTGTAAAAAAAAAAAAGTTAAAACATTTGTTATTTGGAAGTATTTGTTTTAAAAAAAAAAAAAAAAAAAAACATGTGAGGCAAACCAGATACTTCTCTCCCACCTACTATTTTTTCCCCCAAAAGTAAACAGCCTAAGAAAAATACATTCTCCTCAAATATTTTAGTGTACAATACTACTTAGTGACATCTCTTAAAATAATAGAATTATTTTTCCTGACTGAAATTGTCCTGACAAAATACTTCTTATTTTACAGAAATCTACCTGGAAGGAATCAAATTAGCAAGGTTTCTGATTATATTGTATATCTCAAAAGAAAGGCCAAAAGAGCTTTTTGTGAATTTGAAAGGACAATAAAACCATGAAAAAGTGCAGCACAGTGCTCTGTGATTCTAATTTTAATTAAATGATATAAGATTGTTGGTCCTGCTATTAGGCAATCTGAAATACAAATGTAAACAATAAGATCCCGCCCCCAACCCCCACCCCACCAGAAGGACTGCTTGGCCAGCTGGATAACGTTGGCAGTGGTCTCGACATCAATGTAGTCGTAGTGCAGGGTGGCTGGGTCTGTGGTGGAGCCTGTCTCGGCCAATAAAACCCCCAACCAGCGACCCATGTCCTCAGAGGAGGCGGCCTGGAGGTTAAGGAAAGAGATGCAGGAATTTAATCAGACCATACTGAAATGTGTCTTTAACAGGGGGAGGTTAATAGAGGTGTATAGAATGGCTGCACTAATTCCTGTGCTTAAAACCTGTGAAAATACACTGTAGTGCCTAAATGAAAACTGATCCATAGCTGCTTCTTGAATCTTTTAGTTACATCGGACCTAAAACAGATCTCTGATAAGAGTTTGGGACAGTTTTTCTTTTTTTATAATGACTAATTTTAAATTATACATTAATATAATTTGCTGACATTAGGAGCAGTGTTGGTTTGTTGTTCTTACATCTACCCATCAAAGGCTTAGTCATTATATGGTTTTGCAGAAAAAAAAAATGCAAGCAAATGTCTAGCAGAGGATAACGTGCAGTCTGCATGAGGAGATGGAATCAAAACAAACAAAAAGGCAAATGGAGGACGTTCAAAGACACCAGTAACATCAAGCATACAGACACAGGTCGCTAGTGGGTGGAAGAGACGTTTTCCCACATGAAAGGAACACCAAGAAAGAGGAGGAAAACATGACAAGCAATGTTTGGCTTGTTCCAGTGTGACTGTGTTCTAATGTAGTTTCAGGGATTTTTGCTTTATTTAACATGTGACAATGGACTTGAAGCGGCTGACAGGAAAATACACACACACACACACACACACACACACATACTGTATATATATAAATCAGAGGATATGAACCATCTGAAGAATTACAGCAATCGTCATACACATCTCACCTCCAGAACAGCCACTTCTTGGCCGTTACGAAGCAGGCGGAAGGCAAAGGGGTGTTTGTGGTCGAGGCCAGGGCTGACCTCGCAGCCTCGGAGGGGCAGAGAGGCGATGTGGCTCTTCAGGTCATCTCGGTCCTTATGGAGGAGCAGCTGGTTGTCCTTCAGGCGGCACCAGCGCTCTCGCCAGCGGTTATTGGAGAGCACGTTCAGGTAGCCTGTCATTTAAAGCATGTACAGTCAGCAAAGAACTCACTTTTTTCAGAGACAGATTTTCATTATTTCCAACCCCTACTTATTGCTGGCATGCTTTAGCAGTGGATTTAGTTTCAGTAGTTGGGTTTTCAGTGCTGTAGTTTTTTTTTTTTTTTTTTTGAGAGTTCAACTTTCACTTTGTCTTTGCTGGATTCAAATCACTCCACCCACAGACGAGGTATTCATGGGCAATGATGCCTGACAGAGTGGCTCCACTAGCTCCTGCCCCGAGCCTTCAACTACTGTTCTTAACACCACATCAGTAGGCACACTGGAGCTGAAGTTACACAGGGAGCTCCCATTTGTCTGTTAGTTAAATAAACACATAAGAGAGAGAATGTGCAAGCTCACAAACCAAACTAAGTAGAAAGCAAATCATAATTTTATTTTACATTTACTGCATACATCTCTCTGCACCACTCAGGTATTGTCCTAATACAGATTCCATGTATTGATGAATGCTGACAGGTGCTGATGACAGACTGGTTATATTCAATACAGAAGGCAGACACCGATTCAAAATCAGTGTATTGTTGCTGGGACATGACAACTGGGAGTGATGACAAAAAAAAAAAGCCAAGTTCAAGCTAACTGCAATAAAATAAGTCTCTGAAGTTATACCACATAATTATTTTTCAGCTTTGTTTCTGGCATATGACTGGAGACACAGTTGAGATATTTAAGTTAATAACCAGCCTTTGTCTTACCACATGTGGGAACGTCTTCTTCTGCTGACGACGTCTGCTCATCTGTGGACAGCTTCTTCTTACCCAGCCCAATGATTTTAGTGATCTTCTTCCCTGCACCCTTCCCCACTGTCCCAGTCTTCTGCTCTGACTTTGAGTTCTTCTTTCCTTTTCCTGAGAGAGAGACGGATATTGTAAGAGAATTTTTCCTGAATGGAGATTGTTAAAAATAAAGGTAGTATGGTATAAATGACTGACCTTATTTAAGTCGTGAAATAAGTTAAACAGGAAATTAGTAAAACACTGGGTAATGTCCTGGTTCTAGTACTCCTCTACCATCATTATGTAAACATGAGAAATTAGCAAGAGAGTGTTCATTTATGCTGATTCAGTTGTGTTTCGATGCTTTTTGCACTACTGTAAAAAAAGGAAGAGAAGGAGCAACCTTAGACTTGACTGTAAACAAACAGAAGTTCAGACTCAGTTGCACTGGCTTTAATCAAACCCGTGTGTGTTTAAAAGCTCCTTGTTGGTGAACTAGACTCAGATAGCAATTCCCAGGATTCCCCCTGTGTCTGAGTGGCATGATTTGAGCTGGCCTAGTTTCTATCCAACAAGAAACAAAGAGAGAGAAGTGGCATTCTATTGAAGTCAAGTAAGCCAGGTCTTAAGAGGCTGTGTCTGAATCCCTGCAACTGAGGAAGACAGCTTCAGCTCGGTACAGAAAATGAAAAGAAAGATGAGCAAAGAAAGAAAGTTGTGGTCAAAGAAAGTTCTGTGGAGAAGAACTGGGGGGAGAAAGATTGATGCATTCCCATTCATTGATGTCATCATGCCACTGCAGCTAACACCGTGTGGGGAGTGAATCTTCTCACACACACACAACAAAATCCTAATACAGTAATACTACAGTCACCTGAGCCAGTTTGCACACAAATGCTAAGCCTCTGTTTTACTATTTGTACCATAATGCTTCTTCAGCCCTGATATGATATGACAACTACCGTAGCGACTGCCTTAATTAAATAGGAAGCCGTCTGCAGTCAGTTTTAGTCGCAGGGCTTTTCTTATAATACAAAATTATACAAAACCACGTCACACACAATGCAGGCCTGAGGAGGAAAGCAGATAAACAGATGTGAAAGTGATCTGAATCTTTTTAAAAAGGAGGAATTATACTGTCGTCACTTCACTAGGAGAGGAGGAGGAAAACTCTCATCAGGTACATTTGATTCCAGTAAATCAGCTCTTTTTGTTACCAGTCATGGAAAGAATGTGGCAGATTAAGTTGAAAAGAGGGTTTCAGGGCTAAATAAAGAAATAACTGAAGCACCAGCGACTAGATCGAGTAAAATTAGGAACTCTGGGGAGGTGATTACTTTTGTTTCACTGATCAATCTGCTGTTTTTAGCAGATGATCATAAAAGTTGGCAGAGAAGTCTTAAAATTTAAAAAAGAAAATCTGAATATTGCATTTACAGTTCGCAAAAAATGCAGCTATATCATAAAATATGCCACTGGTACCACAAGCTATGCATTGGGCACTGACAGTAAGGTGAGTAGCTACAACACTAGCATGAGGGGAGCATGCTAGTCAAAAATACACCAGTCTCAGCCTCCTCGCTTTTGTAGGTGATAGTTTAACCTATAAGATGTTTTATTTCAATGGGAATGTCTCAATTTAACGCTGTTAAAAATATCTGATTTTAATGGGTAACCCAACCTGGAAAACAATAGGGATGGGATGATGTGACTTTTTCTTGATATGATTGAATGCATGATTTGATTCAATCATGATACAATTAAAAATTCAATGGCAACAATGTATGACTAGCTAGACAATTTTGATATACAGTATTGTTCCATCCCTAAAAAACAAGTTTCAAGAAGCGCCCCATCTCCAGCATTTTAGTTCAACTGGGGGGCTTGCCAAGGTTTGTGGCTCCGCTTAGTCAGGAACTGAAATAAAGGATGGGTCTAAGTGTTCTCAGTTTTTAAAACACTGTCACAATATGTTCTTTTAAGCTAGGCTAATGGGCAGACTGCAATAGAGATATCAATCTCCTCATAGTCTCACATCTCTTGGCAAGAAAATAAAGCACATTTTCCATAATGTTAAACTATTTCTTTAAAAGGAATGTGAATTTTAATACTCACAATTTACCAAATCTGGGTGTTATGTCATCTTGGCAGAGCCAGCGTTAGTGTTGAGGAAAATAAGCATCAGTAATGGAAAGAAAAACTGCTAGAGTGACTCCTTTGAAGAAATGCCCTGATTCACTTCAAATTGAAAGCCACATTTCTTTCATAAAAGTCATACAAAAATCTGATACAGTATGAGCAGCAAATAAAAGTTCAGTCTAAGGCTGAATAGTGTATGCATAGCCAGAGCAGGTGACAAATATGCAGGAATGAAAAAGGGAGAACAAACCCAGAAAGGTGTGTAAAGTGTTACATGATTTTTGTGTCATAGATGACTAGCTTTGACATCTCCCATTCTCAAAATGTACACTGTACTGTATGTACATCGGGAAGGTTTGAATGTTTACTTAACACTGAATGATGCATCTATACATTTCTAGATACCACAGGTCAAAAAAGTTACATCTCTGGAGAAGTAATCAACCTTTTCATAGAATTGCTCATGTGGGAGATCATTGCAGATCTTATATCTTCACAGCCATGACACAAAGATGACTTACACAACCGAGTCCATGAATCACAGCCCTGTGCCGGCTCCATCAAAACCCAAATGAATTAGAGATCTGAAATTAACTGCTGTTGGGAAATCTGTTTCAGACATAATATTGGAAAAATGAACCAATCTTCAGGAAAAATAAGAGTATTAAATTTGAGTTGACAATACAAATAACTGAGCTGACAAGGAAAATGAAATTTCTCT